TGATGGACAAGGTAGGACCTGGACAGGTACAGTGCTGCCAGGCCCTCAGCAAATGCAGCATCTGCAGCAGGATGGGAGCTCCAAGCCCAAGGAGTTATTTAGTCCATCCACAGAACAAGGGCCAGCCTTCATCTTCATCCACCCTGAGCAACGCATTCCCATGCAGAGCGGATTTCTGACAGCAAAAGCTGCTTCTCTCTTTTCCAGCCATGCAACCCTGCTCGAGGATGAGTCATGTCTCAGCAAACCCTTCCGAGGATGCAGTGCCCTAATGGGAACTAACACTCGAGTCCTCTCGGTAATGAGGGTCCCTCCCCATGCTCTGCACACACTTAATTGTTGAGTTATGCTTCCTGTTCCTTTTCAATGCTAATGCTTTCTCTGAAATTCTCTCCCAGTGTTTCCAGAAGAACTTTTGACCCCAAGAGTGTTTTTAAACTTATGGCATTGTTATCCTCTTCCTTATTATGCTTGCATGGCTAGAGGTAATTACACATGGATTCCCTAGTAAGACAAGAAGGCTTGCAACAGAACATAACCAACCAGTCTTGTGTCAGATGAAAAACAAAGCAGGCACAGTGGGCAAACAAATGCACTTGGGCATGCTCACAAAGTAGATTTTGGAGCATACCTTACAAAAAAAACAAAAAAAAACCCAAAAAACAAAAAACAACAACAAAAAAATACCACACACACACAAAAAACCCAACAGGTAGGCATGCTTTGACAGAGGCAAAGAAGCTCCTGCAGCTCCTGCAATAAACCTTTAACCAGAGACATTCAGTCTGTTACTTGCTCAGTGAGTCCCGGCCGCACGCATCACAAGGAGAGTAAGATTCAGGGCAGCCCAGAGGAGCAGTCCCCAGCCTTCCTCCCTGCCTCCAGCTACTGCAGATCCAGCCCTCCCAAGGCAGTCCACTCTACTTGTAATTAATAATTTCTTGGAATTTCTCATCCAGCCCATTAACACAAAGCTGTCTGCTGAAGTAGAACACTTCAGAATGAAAATACACAGATCATCATATATTGAACAACACAGCACCACCACAAACAAAGGCTAAGAGCTTTCGAAGCTAAGAATGGTACGTGCCTCTGCCAGGGGACCCAAAATGTCCCAGACTCATCAGACACTTTGCAAATTCTTGGCAGACCTGCCTTCTGTTTTGAGCTCATTTCCCATGCTGCTCTGCCATCCAGCATTACAGTGACAAATAGATGCAATTTCAAGCAACAGAAATGCTAGGAAAAATGAATTAAAATTAAAAAAAAAAAATTGTCAGAGGCAAATATTACCCTATCATCCTATTTCATTTGGACATAAATAATGACATCTTAAAACAGCAGCATCAATTGCACAAGTCAAAATAGGGATTTAGGGGAAGAGTCTAAAATCCCCAAAGTGACTCAGGACAATGTAATAGAACTTGATTCTATGGCCCAGTATTTCATACCTAAAGTTCGAAACATTTTGGCCAAACCACTTCTAAAATAAATGCACGTTAAGGATATTAATGCAATCATTTTTCTGTCTGGCAGCACAACTTTTATTGAAGTTACAACTTTAAGGGATGTTTCAAATTAAACAGACTCTAAAAACAGAGCTCAAATTAAACTCTGCTATGACACTTTTAATTAATAAAATACAACAAACGGACTCTTCATTAAGCCTTACAAGCAATATTTCTTTTAGATTACAGTTTCCAAATATCACAAAACTCTTCCGCTGTGTCCTAAAGCAGTTGAGTAGCTCAGATTATATTTCCCCATTGTACACACCGGAACAGAACTTAAGGTTCTGGAGAACATGCTGAGAGGGAGAATGTTGAAGATCCAGCACTTAGAAAGTTTTTTCCCTTCTTAATTTTCACGGAATCACAGAACAAGTCTGGTTGCAAGGGACTTCTGGGAGACCTCGGTCCAGCCACCCTCTCAAAGCAGAGACAACTTAGATCACGTTCTGAGAGCCTGGTCCAGTTGAGTTCTGAATATTTACAAGGAAGGTGAGAATTTGTACCCGAGTTCCGAGCAATTTCAATTTCTGCTGGGCAGTGTGCCTTTGAATTCAAACACAACTTCACTGGTAACCTCACCAGGAGTGGGCAAGCTGCACAGTGGTCTCCTGTTCACAGGCAGGCTCTGCAGAACCCCAGAGGTAAAATTCATCCATCCGAGCCCAAGTGCTGAGCCTGGGTCAGCTTATAAGCAGCCAGGTGCTGTTGCACTAGCAGTGAGTCCATCAGGAATATAAGTAGGTCACTCCAAAAGTAATGCCTCCTAGCAACAGTGAAATGTCATCCAACCATGAACACCTCTGAATTAATTCTGTTAGTTGGTCACCTAGCACCTGACAGCACCCCTTTAAGTGTCTGCAAAACCCTGCCCAGCAAACAAGAAAATTCACTGACCTCTTGTCATAGGTGAGCAGCCAGTGGTGAGAAAGACAACTCCAATACAGAGCTGGACTGAGAAATGGCCTCAAACCTAAGAGGTCTGATGCTAAAACCAAGACCTCAGTCCAGACCACAGTGCCAAGCCCTCTGGAACACTAAAATCATTACATCCGTACTGATAAAAAATGCTTAGTTCCTTAGTTCCAGCTTAGTTTTCTTTTAACCATCAGCAACAGTGATATACAGTACCAATATATGGAATGTATGAGAGAAAGAGAGCATGTGATTATCATCAAGGGAGTGGGAGCAGCAAAGAACATAATTTCTAAAGCAGTTTTGCAATTAAGTGTATATATATATACATGAATACATATACACGCACAGATACATACTTGTACATACACATACACTGTGTAGCCACACAGGTACGCTTTTGTGTTTGCTTGCTTTTTATTTTAAATCATATGACACTTCATGCTCATGCTGACCTTCAAACCAGCCTCAAAGCCTTGCTGTGAAAAATTCTCCCCACCTTGCCAGACAGAGAAAAACCACGTGTGAGCTCATCTTTCCCATGCCTTTGCCTTCCCACGTCCTGCCTGGCAGCACACAGGATTCGCATAGCCCAGGTTGTGTGAAGATGATGGATCAGACTGCAGGGAGAGCCCAGGGGTCTCCGCTGCGTGCACTGCCCACGCCAAGCTGCAGAGCTGTGCCTGCGCTCCTGAGGCTGACACAGCACTTACACAGAGAATGCAAAGGCATCCACATGCTGGATTAGAAGAGGAAAAATTTCATGTGCAGCAAAACTGAAAACACAGGAGGTTCTGAGAACCATGAGTAACTCAGCATGCTTATATCCCTCTGAATGACATCCTCTCCAATAAAAACAAAACAAAACAAAACAAAACAAAAAAAACCCACCAGAAATAAAGGGAAAAAATTATATATTCCTGCCATTCTTCCAACACATTTACTACTCAGATTCCTATGATTTTCCCTCCACCCTTCGGTGATGCATTACAAAAGCTTTCAGCTACTGCCATCAAAGGCAATGCCAGGCAGGCAAACCAAAGCTCCAAAGCCACCTCCACTGCAGTAGCTTCAGCACAGAATGTAGGGCAGGATGCAAACTCAAGTACAGGCTGAAGGGCTACACCGGGCTTGTCCAGCTGGGTCTTCACAGCACCGTGTACCTCAGCTACCTCAAGCTTTTCCAAGAGTTACATTAATTGAGAAAGGAAATATCCAACGACATCTCAAAACTGCCTTCAATAAAAAACACAAAGAGTCTTGCCTGGAAACTCATGAGCATATGAAGTGGCACTGGTAGCATGTGCAGAAAGATTTGCTGGAATGCCAGGGAACTGCATCCTGAAGCCATGTATAATTAACTTTTGATTTTTAGGTTAAAGCTTTGTTGAGCCACAGGCTTAAGAAAAACTACCAGATCTTAAAACACGACACACAGAAGAGAATTTCTAAAGCTAAAAGAATGCTGAGATGCCCATTTAAGTTTGCAGACAAACACTACCATGTCATTGGCACTGAGCATCCCTGATTTATTCGCATTTCCCTTTCTCCCCACAGAACAGCAACCTGGCACATGGGAGAGAAGACTGTGCAGACATCATTAACGAGAAAACAAAACTTGTCATACTAAAAAGATGCTTGAGAGAGCATAGACTCAAAGCAGAGATAACATGCAGGTATGAAGGGAACACCAGCATCAGGCAGATCGTAGCATGAAGCTGGAGAAGTGTAAGAATACACAATCAAATCACCACGCTAGACATCACATCTGAGCCACCCAAAGGTTTCAGAGATTTATTACAGTTGCCACAGAAAGGGGGGTGGAAGAAAGACAAGAAGAAAAAAATCACGAAGAGAATAGCTTCAATTGAATCCACATGCTTTCTCATGCCTGAAAACAAGCCTGTAAGCTCTTTAGAGTTGAGAACATCATTTTATTTTGCATTTGTACAATACAACAGAGGCCCAGGATACTGATGAAGCTTCAGAGAGCTGCTACATTACAAATAAATAACAATAATCCACTTAATCTCTGCTTAATGCAGCCCTGAAGGGAATGCGGGTGAGATTATCGACTGACAGCATTTACTCAGTAGACCTTCAGTTACAGTCCACAGCCATAAATTCAGATTCCTCCCTTCAAAAAGCATCCATTGGCATCAGCAGAGCAAATGAAACCTTGAAGAATTGGACAGCAGGCTGTTTCAGAAGTTTAGTTACAAAAGGAGCAAAGAGGAGCGTGTTGCCACGTAAGCGCTGTAAGAGACATCCCATTGGTTCCAACAAAAGCACTGGAAGGGGCAAAAAAACACCCAACAGATTGGAGAAAGGAATAACCATGACTCTCCCACAGCTTGGAGCATACAAGAGCTCCTGCTGCCCACGCCGCTGCTTTGCTACAGCACAGAACAGAGGGCAGATACCACAGTAGGTGACACCCCTGCTTTCAACCACCTTCTGTGCAAAAAGGGCTGGGTTTGATGGCCCCTTCCCATCTGTGCCAGGCTGGAGGAGAATGAGACAGATGCAAGCAGGCGTCGAGCGAGAGGGTGAAAATGTCACCAAAGCCACACTTACAGCAACCAGTGTTTCAGGGGACACATTCTCTCCCTTCACATCTTCTTCTTCGGGCTCTTCATTTTCTTTATTGTCAGTGCAAGAGACAGAGTCTTGGACTGAGCAAGTGCTAAGCAAATCTGGCAAACTGGCAGATGGGTACTTCAGAAAATCCCCTTCAGCGGATTCCTACCCGAGAGACAATAAAATGTGTTACATCACAGAATCCACCAAAGCCACGCTGACTCTGCCCCATTTCACCTGCCCAAAGGGAGCTCCCCAGCAATCCTCCCTCCTTATGTATTTCCATCAGCTTGAACTGTAATGGCCCAGTTACTGACAGCAGATCTGGTGTTAACATGTGCACCAAGTAAACATAGGCCAATACACATCTAAAACAATCAGATTTCATAAAAGAGAATTTAAAATAAATGCTCCCCCAGCAGTCTGCTCCTCCCCACCTGAATTCACTAAAAGTCATGGCAAGCAGATGCAGAGCTTGCAGGCTCATTACTCATGTCACTGTGCCCCAAATCTCACGCCGTGCTCCCTTCACATATATGCCTATCTAAATGTTCCAAGGCAACAAACCAACAGCGCGGTTTGGGAGAACTAACTCTGTAAGCCTCTACCTACCCAGTCCAGATGCTTCAGGAGACATTCCCCTGGCTTTGGCATGTTTTCTGAGAGGTAAACATGTGCATCAGCTGAAGTAAGACAGTAAGACAGGCTCTCGTTTTATTGCTTCCAAAGGAAATCCTGTGTTTGCAGTGCTCAGCATGCCAAACTGTAGGGCTGCTTTCCCATACCAACAAACAGCAGCCAGAGGAATCTGATGGGGAACACTTCACCTATATATGCCCTTCTATATGAAATTTTAATCTGTAAGGTTATTCACAGAGATTATTTCGATGCAGTCACTCCATGAGCAAGCAAATAATTTTCAGGACAGTCCTAGGCAGGCTAACGCCTTGTGTTTTGGCAGGGACTCCAACTGTCCAAATGAAGTACAAAATGCACCTATTCCAGTTCAAAGCATGTTGTTTCCAGAATAAACACTGGTGGGGCTAATATCATGCTGGGAGCCTACAGAAGGTCTTGAATGAAACTCCCTGTCTAAATTAAACATTAGAAAGTTACAGGCTCTTCACTTTTAACATGGAGGAAGAGAGCCTCTTCTTGACCAAGTCAAGAAATAGAAAGCTTCTTTACAAAGCCAAAAGAGCATCCAGAAATGAAGCTTATGTAAATCTGCACCAGATTGGCTGGGTTAACAAGAGTGGTCCCCATGACCCCCCTTCTTCAGAGGTCCCTCCCCAACCTCAGTGGTCGTGTTGTCCTTTCTGAGATCCTAAGTGCTTTTGGAAGTATTCTCAACCCTACCAGGGAGAATGCGCAAACTGGGGTGGGGAGGATTTCCATAAACAAAGCAAAAATATTGTGTAATATTCCCTTGATCTCTGAAAGCAAAACTGAGAGCCCTCCTAATAAATGAATTCTACTCTCATTCCCCTGAAATTTCATGCTACTTTATCTGTGAGAGCTTTGCTCCAAGCTATTAACAAGGACAAAATAAGGAATTCAAGCCAAGGGATCATCATCAGGAGACCTCTAGCACACAGATATGGAGAGAGATAACAGACTCCACAGGCAAGCATCTGATGAGGCTGAGTACAGCCTGCTTTATTTAGCAGTCTACGTATATTTTAAGAAAATGCTTTTTGCCCAAAACTTAAGTAATGTCTGCATGACTAAATCCAGCCTCATTTGCACACTGAACAACAATACAAGCAAATCACTACTGTAGTCTATACCCTGCTGATTTGCCACAGATTTACAGCAGCTCCTGATAACAATCCCAGTAGCACTGCATTAAACTTAGGGGAGCAAATGCAAACATGTGCCTCCATCTCAAAAATGTGCCCTCTCCATGCACACATCCTTGAGGACAGATCTAAGGGAGACACCAGGGAGAGGACATAATGTGTACTGCTTGTACCTTGCTGGCGACCACCAGCTGCACCATGCCGGCGGCCGAGCGCAGGAGAGCCACGGCGTCCTGGTGGGACAGCCCCACCAGTGACTGCCCGTTGATCATCAGGAGCTCGTCGCCTGCCGTCAGCCTGCCGTCCCTGTGAAAACAGAGAGGGAACGTTGGGCTCCCACCATGCTTTAGGTGGATTTTGGTGAGGTAAAATGTGACCTGGGTGATGCTAAATTTGCACTGATCAGTGAAGCGTTGTTTGACCAGAAAGGGAGCACAGGAAGGAGTCCTCTGGAAATTGTTGCTATACTCAGAGCCATTTCACTCTGCCTGCAGAGTGAAAGCACTCTCAAACCCTCTCTGTGCCCCACTGGAGATGGATGGGAAACAGCAGTGAGCCCCAGATCTCACCATCAGAGGCAGGGCTGGGAGTGAGCAATCCCCTGGGATGCACAGCTTGTCCTCACCCATTGATGACCCCATAGGAAAGGCCCATATCCCAGAAACTGACCTGGGAAAAGAGCTCTGCAAGCCATCAGGCTCACTGGGTTACGTTCCATCATCAAGAGCCTGGTGCCAAGAATCACAGAATGGCTTGGGCTGGAGGTAATCTTAAAGATCAACCCATACCAACTCCCGCCATGGGTTGGCTGCCCCAGCTAGCTCAGGCTGCCCAGGGCCCCATTCCAACCCAGCTGTGAGCACCTCCAGGGATGGGGCACCACAGCCCTCTGCGCAACAGTGGCAGCGCATCACTGTCCTCTGAGCGAAGAACTTCCTCCTAACATCTAACCTAAATTTCTCTCCTTTAGTTTAGTTTAGTCATTTCTTGATGTCCCACCATTATCAGACCATATAAAAAGTCAGTCACCCATCTGCTTATAAGCTCCCATCAAGTACCGGAAGGACATCACAACAAGTCCCTATACATACTGACGCTGGTATGGACCTGCACTAAACTCAAGTCTTTTGTTTGTCTTTACCTTGGACTAAACATGCTGAGAGAGGTCTTCAATAACAAAAATGAGCTTTCAAGCTAAAATTTCACCTTCTTAACCTTTACAGACTGATGCAGGTCTCCACATCTTTAGGACAAATCACCCGCACCTATCCTGACCCTGGCTAACAGCAATGGCCACAGATGCTGGGTCACACTCTGAAGGCTCAGCTTGCTGGCTCACCTGTGTGCTGAGCCGCCCTCCTCCACGTGGGTGATGATGATGCTGTGCGGGGATCGCTTCGAGCCTCTGCCTCCTGTTATCTGAATCCCCAGCCCGTCCGTCCCCTTCAGGATGTGCATCTTCCATATTCGGGAACCTTCTCGCTGAGAGAAAATGGGCAGAGAGTCCTTGAGTTTGGATTTGGACACTGAGAGAAGGCTGGGAGGGTAGAGGAGGGAGCGACGTACAGCCTTCCTGCCCATCACCACACATCTGTAGAGCTCAAGCCACATGGCTTTTTTGTTTTTGGGTTTTTTTTGCTGAGCTTTTCCTTGTTATTTGTGGTCCAAGCAAAGGAGGTAGAAAGGAGGAGGCAGCATAGAGCAGGTGCAGCATGTGTAAGTTTCCTTGCAGGCTCGCTTGCAGCTTTTCTGAGCTATGCTGTTCTGCGCTGCAGTTCTACGTCCCAATCCTTCCCATAGCCAACAGCAGCCTCCAGCACCTTCACCAAAACTCTAGGATTTGCAGAAAGCGAGGGGCTGAGAAGCGAGATACCACTGAAACGGCACCCTGAACACCAGAGCGGAGCAGACTTGCAGCATGCAGCAGCGTTTCCCTCTCCACACGGCTCGCAGCATTTGAGACATGAGGAGGAAAATGCCAGCCTCACACTGTCAGCTGCTGGTCAAATACTCCTTATTTGACAGATGTTATACGGACTGTAAGCAAGGATTTTCCCACCACAAAGAATAAATTTTCAATATAAGCAAGGTAACGAGTAATGTTTAGCACAGCTTTATTTATTTATTTTTTTTAATGACTATAAATCCAAAACAGAGCTCTACAATTTCTGGTGCAATACAAAATGCAATACAAGAGACTAGTTCCCATGCATCCTACTGGAAGGACTGGGCACAAGGAAACACAGGAGAGGCTGCTATCAGCGGAACAGGAAAGGAAAGAGAAAAATAATCAAGCAAGCAATATGCAGAGGCAAGGACACTCTCAGAGGGAAGGGAAGAATCAGAGTAACAGAATTATGAGAATCCCAGGAAGCTTCCAAGCTTGCAAGGCAGAAAAATACACAGTTTGGAGGTGATTTCAGGCTGCTTGCCACAGTCACTCACAGGGGAGGTCATATTTCTGACTGGGTCTGTGCTGCACAGAGACAATGTTCTTGCAGCACACAAACACCCAAGCAGTGGAGATGATTCAACTTTCATGCCAAACTGTGAAGAGCTCGTAGAAATTGCTGCTTGTTTCTGAGGAGTGGAACTGCTAAATATATCAGTGGACGTAAGGTTTGTGGCAGTGGCTTGCAGATTTTAGTCCAACGCTGCTTATCTCAGCCTATATTAAGTGAAGAAAATGTGTTTTTTTTTTCTTTTAACCTGACCACTGGGGACCGATGTTGAAACTTTTAAATGCAATGCAACATGAGTTTTTCAGACAGAGAAAAAAATATGATCTCGAGTATGTAAACTAGTACCTCAGAACAAAGAGAAGAACAGGAGATAAAGGTTACACAGCCCCAAGACCACGGTACAAAAAACAGGAAAAACCAACCTGGTGTTTTGAGAGGTAAGCCAAAAGTTTGATCCTGGAGAAGCAGACACCTGTGGGTAATTTGTTAACTTGACAGCAGTGCACATGAGCAATATCCCACAGGTTTAACTAGGATGCTGAAGAAACTGATAAAAGCCCAGTCCCAGTTGAGTAACAGGGCATGTAAGGACAGCAAATACCTTGAGACAGATTACCAAGATAGACAAAACATCATGTTAAATGCAGGGGCTAGAGACAATTGTATTTATGTGCTCAAAAACAAACAAACACACAAACACAGAACTAGGCCAAAGTCTGACAATGCTCCAAAGAGATTTTATTGCTATAATATGCCCTGCACTCATAATGAACATCAGATGTGTCACATCCCTCCCTCCCCCAACCAAAACGATGCTCATTCAGGATGCTGCTCTGGCTGTCCACTTGTTACACCTAGTTCAGAAGCAAACCCTTTGATAAAGCCTAACAATGCACTTATAACACTGTTTCTAATGACTTGCAAAAGTGTTTTGGAATGCTGGTTATGCAAAGGCCCACACACAGCACCCCGCCTACGCTCCTCAGCACTTCTCACTGTCACATACTAAAAAAACCCAAATTCACTCTCCACTGACCCACACTCCAATACTCATTCATACGGCACAACACTTCGTAGCAGCAAGTGGTGAGGCTCTGCTGCTCTCATTCCCTTTCAAGTCCCACTGAAGTCAAAACTACCTGCAAAGCAGCGCATTACTAAGCGGGGATGGCAGAGCACAGTCATGCTGCACACAGCACCTCAGCCTAGCATGTAACCAAATACACATTTATTTCATCCTTTCTGAAGTCACAAGTCAGTGGCACTGAGAACTACATCTGCTGACCGTTCTCCCTTTGCAGAACAGCCACAGCTGTTCAGTCAACCCCGGAAGTACCCACATGTCTTTGACTTTTTAAAGCTGAGCACCAAAACGCAGATCTCCTAGCGTTTCAGTGAGATTTCTTGGAGAAAGGAGGTGTTCCACAGAGCCCCATTTCCTCCCCACACAGGCACTCTACTTCTGCACAGAGCAGCATGGGACACTCCACTGCCAGCTGGGAAATGCTGCTGCTTCCATCAGGCACCTTTTGTGGCTGCATCACACAAGAGCTTTGCCAGTAAAGCTCCAGGCCAAGGATTCTTAAATGTATTTAAATTTGACTAAAAAAACAGTTTTCTTGAGTTCTTGGAGAAACCCACATTCAACAGCACGAGCCTTAAATGCTTTAAATAAAATTTAAAAAGCAGAGCAATGCATTCTATGTCTCTCACTTTTAAATTTTTTAAAGGATCCTATTTCCAAGCATTTCTTCCTAAACAAGTATACACATTCACTCAGACTTCAGATGAGGGCTAAGACTGTGCCATATTCACTCAGTTCCAGAGACTTACGACACCCAAGGGAAGCTCCACTCAAGGTTCGATTTGGCTGTCCGCAGGTCTGATGTCCCTGCCCTTGGAGCCTGCTGAATCCTGCCCAGAGGAGACGATGACTTTAGCAGCAGAATGGCATCCTCTGATGGGCTGCACAACACTGGTTGCTGCCAGTTTCGTATCCCTACTAACACTGGAACTTTTCTATTTGCTCAGAAAAATCCTCGTAGCTTCATTTATAAATGATTCAGAATAATCCCCATAGTTTTGTTCACGAGTGACACAATAAATCCTCACACATACATCCACAGCAGTCTGTGAGAGAGTATTTCATGCCCACAGTACAGAGAGATGCTGTGGGTTCAGGGAGGTATTTCAGACTGCAGATATCCTCAGCAAGAACCAAGAACAGCCTCTTTTCACTGCTCTCAAGAATATGGAGACTAATCCATACTCCTTAACTACCCTTAAACAAAGTCAGGTCAACACAAGGAAGCTCAGTACTTTGAAGTGAGATGGAAAGGTGAGCTAGACCTCGTAGGCTGATGTCACAAGCCACAGAGAACCATGCAGTCCACCTGAGATATGGCCAAGAGGCACACTTACAGACTTCCACACTCTCTCTGGAAATCACCAAAGGAAGGAGAAGTCAAAATTTCTTTTAGAGATTTTTCCCCATCTTCTGGACGGCAATATTAGTCCTGCTGAGATCTATCCCACAGCACCCGAGCAGCAGTAGAACTACTCCCCATGCTAGGAGAGCTGTGTGGATGCCATGGATCAACATTTTCTTCTCAAGAACAGTGGTGAGGCATTGGAACAGACTGCTCAGGGAGGTGTTGGACTCACCAATGCTGGAGGTGCTCATGAAATGTTTAGATGTTGTTCTAAGGGACATGGTTTAGTAGAAAATATTGCTGATAGGTGTACGTTGGACAGGATGATCTTAGAAGTCTTTCCCAACCTTGGTGATTTTATCATTTAAGAATCGTGGAGGTATGGCACTGAGGGACATGGTTAGTGAGCATGGTGGGGATGGACTGATGGTTGGACTAGACGACCCAAATGATCTTATCCAATCTCCACGATTCTGTGATCTTACCAACACTTACAAACATCTAAAGGGCAGTGGCCAAGAGGATGGTTGAAAAGAGCCAGGCTATCTTTGGTGGTACCACATCAAGCGATAGAACAGGGGGCAATGGGCGTGAACTGGAACACAGGAAGTTCCATAAAACATGAGAAAGAACTTCTTCACTTTGAGAGTGACAGAGCACTGGAACAGGCTGTTCAGAGGAGCTACTGAGTCTCCTTCTCTGGAGATATTCAATAGCCATCTGGATGCCTTCCTGTGCAAGGCAGACTAGGAAACCTACTTTAGCAGAGGGGTGGAATAGATGATCTCCAGAGATCCTTTCCAATCCCTACCATTCTCTGTGATCTCTGTGTGTGACTCTATTTGTCAGAGAGAAGGAGAAGAGACTAGACCTTCTTTTGAAGTCCCTTCAAGATTTATACTGCTCCTGTGAACATTCTTATAGCAAGAAGAAGCACAAATGGTCAAGTGAGAGAGGCTGCAGCTTGGCTAATGGCTGTTTTTTATTCTTTGCAGTTACATCATTCTTAGGTGACTCAACTTTCCTCCTAACTCGGCTCTGGCAAGCAGGCAGTGCCTTGGATCAGATCTTTCCTCTTGCAGATGATCAAAGTGCACAAGCTACAAATAATTAAAATGTTTTTTAAGATGGTATGAATATTCCACTCGGATTAATGATGAGCAAGAAAAAATGGGTCATCTTATGTAACAGACCACAAATGAGAATAGAGAATCGAGCATCGAGCCAGCATCTCAAGTTGCTCCCTGCAGGCTGCCTTTCTCCACCATTGTATGCAAGGCAGCCCCTGTTCAGAGCAAGAAGCCTACATCTGGAACAAACTAGCCTGCTACAGATGTGGGGAAGCTCGCGTTACGCTTGCTCCAAGTGCATACCATCAAACGCTCAATTTCATAAGCACATCATTAATAAAACAAAAAGGAACATTTTTCCCCTCTGAGTGTAAAATAAATAAATAAATAAGATGTGTCAGAGCCGCTCTTCCCACCCGTCTTTCACCAGCTAATTGCAGGGGAGTTTAAAAGGGGCTTGACTGATTTCTACTGTGTGGTGTTCAACAAGTTGCAAATCTGAATATACAAAGGAAAGA